AAAAAGTAAATAAGCAATAAGTCGGTGTTAATCAGCACGGCGAAACCATACATTAAAGCTGAAAAACATATACCAACAAAAACGATAAACGGTAACGGATTAAAAACGGTCGAAACTCCATTACATAGCAAAAATTCAAAGCACTAAACATAAAAAATATCAGTGTTGGTCGAAAAAAGTGTAGCAACTCGCTTAAAATATAAACCTTTATTTTTCATGTAATTATAGTGGTATTTGCCTATGAGTTGATATGAAATACATGGAGTTTTTATTTAAGGCTTCATTTCGTACACAATGCATATAAAATTGTCTAGATTATACCACACGTTTCTTTCATTTGTTTTACTATTTTGTGAAGCCTCAAGGATTAATATATATGAATTTAATTGAATGTAGAGCTAAATGACATTAGCCGCCAAATCACGATACAGTAACAGACTAGACAGACGATACAGTAACGCACTAGAGCTGCACAATGGGCTATTGGCGACGGTCTGGGAAACATCCCGGAGGATGATCCGAAGACATGCCATCACAATTTTGATCCTCTGCGGAAGGGATGGCACCCCCGCTTCGGTAGCCCGACGACCTGCGCGCGAAGTCGAGCACTTTACGGTAGCACAGTTTAACGAGGACCAATACCGCACACCCTCGGTCCCTACGCAGACTGNTTAAAAACGGTCGAAACTCCATTACATAGCAAAAATTCAAAGCACTAAACATAAAAAATATCAGTGTTGGTCGAAAAAAGTGTAGCAACTCTCTTAAAATATAAACCTTTATTTTTCATGTAATTATAGTGGTATTTGCCTATGAGTTTATTTGAAATACATGGAGTTTTTATTTAAGGCTTCATTTCGTACACAATGAATATAAAATTGTCTAGCTTATACCACACGTTTCTTTAATTTGTTTTACTATTTTGTGAAGCCTCAAGGATTAATTTATATGAATTTAATTGAATGTAGAGCTTAATGACATTAGCCACAAAATCACGATACAGTAGCATGTGGTTATTGAAACCACATTCGTTCTAGGGATATCTGATTTTAAAAGGCGGCTGTTTTTATAAACAGGTGGTTTTAAAGTATTATTTTACATACGATGGCTCATGAAATAGAGCGCAGGCCTTTCAATGAGGTGAACCGAGTTCGAATCCCAGGGATGGTTGATCGATACGAATCCCGCACTCGGCTTGCACCGACCACAGTGTTGGCGTGAAAATAAACTCAGTGGTAGGCGAATCATGTGTTAGAGTCCCCTTGCCGTTAGGCAAACTGCGGGAGGTTTCCGTGGTTTTTCTTTCCACGCAAAAGCAGGTTGGTTTAATCAAAATGTCCAAATTTCTCCCAATACTTGATCCAGGAGTTCCCTTGTCTTATGAACTGGGTTCAAAATGACAAGACTGCGGCGTTGAACATTAGTAGTCGCAAACCCCAAAAACTGGGTAGGCTGTTCAACGACGGTTATAAAATAACTTTTACATTATTGAGACAAACTTTCTGTTTAAGCATTCTGTCATAACCAAATTAAATTTTAAATTACCTCTACCCTCTTCCTTTATTCGTCGCTAAATCATATTAGAACAACATGAGTAGAAACTAGTTCGAAATTGTTCATCAATAAACTGGTTTTACTTTTTTTTTAATGAAATAATTAATTAAACTCAGTGGCGCTACAGCCTAAGGAGATCCAAGGCCTAGAGTGCCCATCCCACCCAAAAAGCATGTAACCTTACGGCAATTTTTATTGACACGACAATGTTTTTCCTAAAAACCTTTTTTCAATAAAGCATATTGCAGTTTCAATCCTCTCATTCTAAAAGGATTAAAAATTATTTTCTAAAGCTTTTCTAAAAAAAAGTATTGTCGTCCCGCAGTGGACTGATCGTTAAGACACGGTTCCCATCAGATCACCGAAGTCAAGCATCACTGGCTACAGTCAGTGTGCGGGCGGGTGACGACTTGGATCAGTCTGCGTAGGGACCGAGGGTGTGCGGTATTGGTCCTCGTTAAACTGTGCTACCGTAAAGTGCTCGACTTCGCGGTCAGGTCGTCGGGCTACCGAAGCGGGGGTGCCACCCCCTCCGCAGAGGATCAAAATTGTGGTGGCATGTCTTCGGATCATCCTCCGGGATGTTTCCCAGACCGTCGCCAATAGCCCATTGTGCAGCTCTAGTGCGACGTAAATTAAAAACAACAACAAAAAAGTATTGTCCCTCAGATGACGTATTAGCTGATGTCACACTAGCGATAGGATCAAATTTGCAATGTCCATCAAAATTTTTGTAGCAAGGTGGATTTCAGCTGACCGTACGAAACTTCGTGAAAGAAAGCCTTATAATTGCTTAGATATAAGATTATTTTCACTTCGAGACTAGTGGTTACTAAATAATTGAAACTAACGACCCCTTAAAACTGACATAATTTAATGACGAACACAAAATATAAACATACACAAAATACTATCACGACAAGCACAATACCTATTTGTACGACATATTAAAGCAAACTGAACTGCTTAAAACATTCACTAATCACGAGACTTATTAAAATGAAATATAGATGGCAGCACACAATTCTTTAAACAGAAACAACTAGCTTTATTGAAAGATTTTTTCCACGCTTGAAAACCGTAAGTCAACCTCGATTTAAGGTTTTTATATAGCAGGTTGATTTCCAAGGTTTTAGATTAGGATAATGAGCGTAGAATAGAGCAGATCTCGTTTTAAGGTTAGAAGATTTACACGTAAACCGTCAAACAAACCTTTTTAGGTTTACATTAAAAGGCTTTTGCTCAGTTAAAATAAACCTTATTTTGCTATCCGGGCAGTTTTCTTAATCTTGAGCTCTCGTGAGTAGGTGCAAGTGCCCCGGTTCAGTAAAACACTGAACCCACCAAGCTTAACAGAAAGTATAACTTATATGGTTCATTTCATTGAATACGTACGGCTTTTCATTGTTAGTTAATTTACATTTGAATGCTTTTTCCAACACTACCGTAGCCAATGAACTATGTAATTGATAAATTGCTATAAACGTGATTTTGAATGATGATTCAATAACTTCCATTTTAATTCTTTCACACTTTTTTAACTCTTAAGGCCTGTTTAGACGATGAAACTTGTTTTTCTTTTGAGCTTGGATCGTGTAAACAATCATCCAAGAACTTGGTCCAACTGCTTGGACGATAGTAGAGCATGTTCTACTTTCCATCCAAGTTTTTTCTCCCTTAACCAATCAGCGTCTTAGGTTTTGTGACGTCAACAAGCAGGCAGCAAATTATGTCATTTTGTTGTCTGTTTTCATATATTTTAGTCCAAATAAATTGATCTGTTGCGGTTTATTTGTGTTATTATGATTTTATTTGAATTTATTTAGTAATTTTAAACTTATGTAAGCATTATTTTATAATGTTGAATATGAGCAATGCGCATGCGCAAGTTTTTCTTTCAACGAATCAGTGACATTCAAGAATAGTGTCAACGAATCATCCAATTTCTTGGACAGAGAAATCCGTCCAATTTCTCGGATTCAAGAAATTGGACCGTGTAAACAGGCCTTTACCCAAGAATTGTACTCATCACACGTATATTGCTTTTTTTTTCTTTTACTCATGATGGGTGACAAATTGAAATCAATATGTTTCACATTTTTCAGAATTTGAAAAGAAGAAAAATTGATAATTTTCGAAAAAAAAAATGAAAATTTCATTTGTACGCTCTCTGAAAGTTCGATTTAATAAAACGGTAATAATGGCTTTCTAATATTTTTAATGGTTTTAATATGTTTTGATATCGCAATGATTATTTTCTTGCATATTTGATTTTAAAAATTACTGGTTTTACATAATTCAGTGACATAATTACTGGTGGTCACTGAATTGTACCAAGCTCAAACGGTAAGCACCAAAATTTAACGGTACTTTAATGATAGCTGCAGGTAAGCTGACTAAATGGTGATATACATGCCTAAGGGGGGGGGGGGAACCTGGAGAAAATTTTATTAAATTAATTGAAAAGTAGAATGTTTTTCTAGTTATTAAAAAATCGAATGGGCTTCATTACTCCTCAAAAATATATATATGTATAAGACTCATCATCATCATCATAGTTGGCCAGACAGCCCAATGTGGACCAATGCCTTCTTCTGAAGATTTCCCCATAACGACTTCCGATTCATCTTTGATCATTAATTGCAAAAAAATCAGACTCCACCGAGTTAGTCCATCTCAATCGCGGCCTTCCACTCTTGTTCTTTTCCAATTCATACTATTTATTTTTATGTATTTAATAATATCGGGTTGATTATAAATCTTTCACAGTTGAAAGTTAAATCTCATTCTTAAGTTACTGTTTTCATTTACAAAACCAAGTACTCCGCACTCAAATATTGTTGTACAATTTTCTTCCAGCTTTGTCACTGTCCAAGCTTCAGAAGAGCATGCCAAGACTGACCTGATATAAGAGTATTGTTCCTAAATTAAGACCTTTAATATTACTCAATGATTTTGTACTAGATATAATTTTAGCATAGTGCTTATTTATATATTGTACTGAAAGTATATTTAGATGATATATAAACTCTGATATGTTTATGATTAAATATTATTCTGTTTATAAAAAATGAAGTTAATCAGACACGTGAAAATGTGATACATTTATTTATGAAATAAATAAAATTCAAAACATTCAACAAATTAATAAATATATTCTACAATATGATTTAAAATAACATAATTGATGAATATGTTGTAAATGACATCACATTTAATTCATAAATACTACATCGTAGCATTAATTAGTAGCATTAAAATTATTTACTCTAAGTACGGAATAATAATTCCTTATCTCTAGACTTATCTATTTTACATGGATAGTTTATATTAATATAAAATAATTAATTGTTCAAAATGCATTAATTAGTAAAAGAAAACCAAGTATTATATAATTTGCGATACTTAATCGTTTTTGAAAAATATTGTATGCTTAATTAGGAAATCTTATCATCAAAATCAGATTATCATGTCAATTTCTGTAGTTGTATTTTTCTGTAGTTGATGAAATTTAAACAAGTGCTTTAAGATAAGTGAATTAATGGAAACAATTACAAAATAGATAATTTTAAAAGTTTTGAATTTGAGCACATAAGATAGGCTCCAGTCAAAGGCGATAATTTTGCTTTAGCCGACTGATTGTGAGTATAATATATTTAAAAAAAATATTACTTATGGAACGGTAATCAATAAAGTAAATTTATTAAACTTGATTTGCCAATATTGTAAAATCTTTAGTACCTTAGTTCTGTTTACAATATTACACTCCTGAGTAGATTATTTGTTCACTACTATAGTTTCAAATAAGTTGAAATACTAAATTAGGAACCGAAAAATCATTATTGTCTATAAATCTGGAAACCTTTATTGCTTTTAAATAAAACGTAGTAACGTAAAATAATAAGAAACAAAAATTTGCGAATTTGATTTTGATGAAGTTTTTGAAAAAGAACAAAAACTATTAAAATTTGCAATAATAAGCTAATAAATTAAGTATCAGCATATATTTTAAAAACTGATATGAATGATCAGCTTCATTTCACAATTTAGAAATTCAATAAATAGCTAATAAATAGAAATATATTAATTACATATAAAAATTGTTTTAAAAAAAGGGAATTTCATTGAAATTTTGAAATCTCAAAAAAAGTCACTATTCTTGAGTACAGTTTTCTTCTTGGAATTTTTCCAATCATACATTTTGGCACATCAATTTACTAATTTTTCAAAAACATCTTTAATAGTTTGATCCATTTCAAATTAGTATTCTAACCACTGATTTGCCAACAATATAAACACATACGATTATCGAACATCTTTAATATCAGTTTTGGCAACATTCAGAACGCAGACGATAATGACCAAATAACTACATCATCAGATTTGTTCCTTCTTGAACAAGCTTCTGTGCGCTGTACTGATTACTTTTCGATACCATCAGGTTTCTCTAAAGTATTAACTTATATGATTACACAACGATGACATATTTGTTATCAGTTTTTAATAATAATAATTAAGATCCGTAGATATATCTTGCAATCGGACCGAAATCAATTGAGACTCTTTTCACTCTGGTTTGCCACAGTTTCAGACATTAAGAATCGATTAGTCTATAATTTCTGGAGTCAATAATTCGTCAAACACTTTTTTATGATCAGTTCTTGGCAGTCTAGCTTCAGTGATTAGGATGAGTAGCGGGATCGTTGGATCTGTAGTCAGATTGCTGAAGTCCTGGTGTCAACCTGGATAAGATATTGATGGGAGATGATTGCCTGTCGCTGTCTTCATTGTGCCTAGGATGTTGGTGAGATCTGTCTTCCTGTATAAGCCTGTGTCGGTCTTGTTCTTCACGCTGCTGTTTTCGCCATTTTGCTCTCCTGTTCTTAAACCATACCTACGAAGAAACAGAACATAATTACAATTTGGAAATCAGTATATAGAATTGTTCTCCTACGTCAAAATTCTTTATGATCCCATTAAAAAGTTTTGATGGTTTATGTTGGTTTCAGCGCGATTCATGATGGTCCAACATTATTTGATGGTCACCATCATTTAACATATTTCCAACAAACTTCCATCATTCCATGATTCTACTTTAATACTGTGATGGTTAACCATGAAAAGAAGTTTGATTCGCATGGACTAACAATCCATGATGACCTGTGATGATCCATGATGGTTTAATTGGAATTCTTGTTGGTTCTCAGGAATGTACCATCAGAACAATTTGGTTTTTTTCTTATGCTGGACCATCATAATTCAGTCCGAATTCCTACTTTTGGGTAATGATTTTTCATGATCGTTTTAACATTTTATCTCTAAAAAACTATATTGAAAATTTCTGAGGGTTTAAAATGAACACATCATCACAACAAGTTGCCATAATTATGGTGGATCATCATAAATCAGTTCGAATTTCTAGATTGGGGTGATGTTTACTTATATTCGTAACAATCAAGAAATAAAATGGTTCATGATGGATTTATTAGTGGTTACCATTAAAATTATATTGGTCTATCATTGCAAAACCATAAAAAATTTTGACTTGGGCTTTTACCAAACCAAAAATGCATCTGTTAGTTAGCTTTTTCCTTTTTTTCTCTTAGTAAAGATCAATTTTATCGTTAGCTATATTATTGATGCTTATATATTTCGATTAAAATAACCATCAGAGACGTAAAGATATTTTTTCGTTCGGGTAATTATAATTATTACTTAAAATTCTTAAGCTTTAAACAATAAGAACTTAACAAATAGTTAAAATTGTTTTCTGTTGCTTGAAAATATGCACGTTTATAACACAAAACAGGCAAAATGGGTAACATTTAAAGACAGAATGAAATTATTTCAAAACTAGGTTCAGATTCAAAAATTTATAAACTAATATCGCAAATTCTATGAGTCACAAACATTTTATAAATTTATTTATAAATTTTTGGATTATTGTGTATGGGGGAATATTTCGATGTACAAAAGCGTGGAGACATTTAAATGTTTCATGATGTCTTGTCAACTACTTCCTGGTGCTTTTATACATTCTAAGCGTGGCATTTTTCCAGAAACATCACTCAACACGTTTTCACAATTAATTCTTATTAGTACTTGTAAAAACATGGAAGAATCGTACTCTTGCGCCGTTTGCTTAGCTTGTTAATATTTTTTTTTTCAAAATTGACTACCCATTTTTTACGAATTCGTTTTTGTGCATAATCATTTATTTAATAGCAAAAAAAGTAATTCTCATCCTTCGCAAGTAAGTTTTAAAAATTATTCAAATTAATTAATTTTCTAATTAAAGCCTTATTTAATTACCTTTTATTCATCTAACAGAATATATCATCCTCTCATTCATGCGAACTCTCATTGCACATTTTTCTTTACACATTCAAATGAGCAACACAATTAATCAATTAACTCAAATAATTAACTCGTCTTCATTACTTTAAGGTTAATCTAATTAATCCTGAATCACATCTTCCGAGCTCTATAAGGGAGATATAAGGGAGGGTGGTCGGGAATTTCAAACGAGTAGGGGGTAGAAAGATGTCAGCAGCATTTGGGGAGTGTGAAAATGTGCGCCACCAATAATCAGGCAGGCGAGCATTATCTCATAAGTTAGGCGGAGCTCACAACAAAACCTCCTTCAAATCTCCCAAATGCAGCTATCTATATTCCTCTTTTCGTCATAAAGAATTTCCCGAATGAAAGGTTCAATACCGCCATCTTTGGTCATTCACAGCAGCGACGAATACATCAAGACCCAATTTATTTCGTCTACGCAGTGGCATATTTTTCTATTCTTAATTGTCTCTTTTTGCGTCATAATGCGGCTATCTAATTTCTCCTAAATGATCAAACCTAATTGATCTGATTCTACCTAAATGATCAAATTTCTTTTGGAAAAACTTCAGTATGAGCTGTGATGACTCAGAGGATAGAGCGTTCGCCTTCCAATAAGGTGAACAGGGTTCGAATCCCAGTGAAGACTGGTCGATACGAATTCCGCATCTGGCTTGCACCGACCACATTGCTGACGTAAAAATATCATCAGTCGTAGACGGAACATAGGTTAGAGTCCCCTTTCCGTCAGGCTAACCGTGAGAGGTTTTCGTGGCTTTCTCCTCCATGTAACGCAAATGCTGGTTAGTTTCATCAAAAAATCATCCACGAAGGCCCCTTTCTCCCAATACGTCATTCAGAAGCTCTCCTGTTTTCTGGGTTGGGTTCAAAATGACAAGGCTACGGAGTTGAACATTAGTAGTCGTAAACCCAAAATATTAGGTCGGCTGTTCAACGACGGTAATAAAATGGTTTTTATGGAATTATGGTTTTAAAAAAACAATTATAAGCGTTGTGAGCAGTTATCAGCGAAATGCATTTTTTATTTTGAATTTAGTTATTTTATACTGAATTGAGAAGCTCGAAAAGATATATAGTTTTGGTTTAAAATCTTCAAACTGCAGTTATTTTTATTTTTTTATTTCCCATGGTAAAAAATCATACAGGTCCAGTTTTTCTTAAGCCTTTTCCTGCCGTGATTTATATTTTTGTGACTTTGTAAATTCCTTCATTAGATGACAAAAAACAAATATAAAATTTTAAAAAGAGGAGTTAAAAAATAAAACAAAAGTATATAAAAAGAAACGTGGTAAAAAAAAAAGAAGGTAAAATTAAATAAAAACTAAAATTGCGGATAATAATAAACGTAGGTAATATAAAACAAGAACATCTTGAAAGTTTATAAAATAAAACTGACCTTCCTCAGTTTGCTAAAAATTCGACAAAAAATTTTGTTCTCAAAATTCATGTTTATTACCGTTAAAATAAAACTTTTTACGGTAATAAATAGGATAAGACAGCAAGAATCCAGTTTACCATGATAAAACCACTCCTGATATTACTCAAATAAAATTCTGCATATCGTTTTCTACACTTTCACCTATTTTTATTGTAACATAATTACCCCCTTTGACGCCCGGTGGCTGAGTGGTAGAGCTTCGCTTTCTCGCGTCACAGGTTCTAGTTACGATCCTCGGACCTGACAAGGTTGATTCAGCCTTTCGTCCCTTCAGTGGGACAATTAAATGAGTACCAAGCATGCTTAGAAACTGAACGCTGGATCTTCGTGTTCGGCTGACCACTAGGTCAAGCCCTAGGTCAAGAAAACTGAGATCGACACAGTAGGCCTTGCCCCTCTAAGGGCTATCACTCCACTGAGTTTCGTTCAGCAATTCCCCACTTTCAACCGAAGGTACAGTTTGTCTACGGTAAGAACTCCCCCGCCACACCCCTACCTAAAATAGTTATATCTCGTTACCATAGTCACCGCCACGGGTTCAGACGAATGACTAGGGAAGTTCTTAAATTAGACAAACTATAACACTTTTACTGTATCTTAAGTAAGTTATTATTATTATTTTTTTTATCACTCTTAAGATCAGCAAGCTTTTTATTTTGGATATAATTTAATTTACTTGTTTAAAATTAATTCTATTATTTAATTTACTTACTTCGATTTCTTTTAAAGGCGTATATTATGCTGCATGATTTTTTAAAAAATTTTTTTTACTGTCAAATGCATGTTTTGAGACATGGCAGCTTTATTAAATACGACATTTTATCTAAAAGCGAATTTCAGGTAGTTTTTTTTTAAATGAATTTCGTTCAAAGCACATTTTGAGCTATGTCCAGTTTCACAAACCCGCATTTTGAGCCTTGTCCAGCATCTGAAACGCGTATTTCAAACTATGGAAACAAACGCGTATTAAAAACAGTTTTTATTGAATTTGCTGAATCCAAACTAAGATTTCAACGACTGTTAAACGAAATATTTCAATTAAGTATTAATTTTAACCCTTATATCACCGTGTTGCATATTTGCAACATACACAAAAAGCCTATGTCTTTCTTTGCCCCAACAAATTTTGAAGGACGATTTCGGCGATTGTCGGTCAAAACCAGTGCGCCAAGATGAAATTGGGCAATTGGGCACTGGCCTAATTGGGCTAACAAAAGAATCAGATGCAATACCCAAAATGCAAAGAATTTACACAAACTATTTGTGAGAAATGTGGTGGAGGACTTTGTTACAACAAAAGTAACAACTGTTTTAAAAATTTTCATGTGAATTAAAATTTTTGAATCTTTCAATCTTAGTGCCATTTTTCACGATGTTGCAGGAATGCAACAAGCACTTTTTGTCATTTTGCATAAGGGTGCAGAAATGCAACAATCAATTTTTTTTCAATAATTTTTCTTATTTTATGTTGTAAATTTTTTTATTATTTTTAACATGCTTAGAATGATGTATTCTAATGTATGAGTAATTTTTATTAAAATAAGAGATGTTGAGATATAAAGGGTTAACAGGTAAAGTTATTTTGCATATCTTAAATATTTGATTATTGCTTTATTTTAATAGAGGTTTCTAAAAATGTTATACAATTCGTAATTTTTTTTAATCTCATGATTTTAAGTATTACTTCACAAGGAAAAAAAAAATTAACGCAATATTTCAATTATGCTAAATTTAGGGAACTGTATTTAGTAAGTGTTTCAGAGTTGTAAAACTAGCTTTAATATGTTTCTTTTTTGAAAAAGTAACGATCTTTTAAAAATTGCACCCACCAGGATTTTTTTTTTAAAATTTAAAATTGGAATTCTATAAATAATCTAATATTTCTGGATAAACTGAAAGTTAAAGTAGTTTCCTTCGTGAGTTCAAAAATGTCGGAAACCTTTATAAAACTGCAGATTCCGCCGCATTCTGCTTTCGGATTCCTTTTATAATGATGATGATCGCATAGGCAGACAATAGAGAAGGACAGGCGGCGAGTCGAGAGGCCTGCCTGTCAGGCCCAGGTGTCGGCCCACTTCAAACACCCCTGCACAACC